CACATATGTTTACGAACATTTGAAGAAAAAGAAGGAGAAAAGGCAAATAGAGCAGAGTAAGAAAGAGAGAGAGAGGGGAGAGACAAGATCAGAGAGGCACGGTTTCATGATATATAAATAAAAAAAAACCTGAGTGGAACAGTGAGCTAATCGGGCGAACACAGGGTTAAAATGGTCATGAATAGGTGTTCAAAGTTGCCAACTGGAACCAAAATGATAAATTAGTGATGTTTATATAATATTTATTAATAGTTATAACATTGGTAATAATTATCACTATAGTTCTAAAAGAGGTTTCCATTTTCTCCAACCTTTTTCAAACCGCTCTTTAATAAGCTCATTTTTACTGTTATTTACAAATTGTTGAACCAGGAAATGATCTTTGATAACATTGATGAGTGCATTGAGATTTAGGGAGTTGCTGAGACATCTAGTTTTGTAGATATAATGTTTAATGAGAATTAGAATTTCATTATCCACATGATTATAGTATTGTGTTATTATTCCAAAAAGAAAGGAGTCTTTGTTATAAGCAAAAGGAATTAGTAATAAGTCAAGCAGAGTTTCAAATCTCTGAAGTAAATTTTGCACCTCTTGACACTCAATGTATTCACGCCTGCTTCAAACCAAGTAGAATAAAAGACATATTTATTATATATTTTGATATCCTTATTGTACCACTCAGCAGTTTTCAAAATTGTTTCTTGTCAACTAATCTTCAGAATTTCAGAATTATTAAGTTTGTCCCTTGCTTTAAAAACATCTTTTCAAAATAAATTTGAACAATTGGATCCACATAACTTAATATATTCATTTCCACAATTATATAGCTTGAATAGATCCACCATTGTGTTCAAAATTAGACTCCATTTTTCATGTGAATGTACTACTCTCCTTATCCAGCCTAGCTTAAGAGAATCATAAAGGCACAAACATCAATCATCTTTAAACCCCCATCTATATAATTTTTAATCATCACCTCTTTCTTAATCTTATGACATTTGCCATTCCATACAAAATCAAATAATAATGTTTTCAACTGAGTAATATATTTTTCTGGTGGGTTTGGCAAAGTAATAAACAAATAGTTAAGTTGTGAAATCAACAATGACTTAATAACATGTATTTTGCCTATTAGAGTCAGATTCCGTCTATTCCAAATATTAATTAGGGCTTTAAGTTTTACAATTTGTTTTTTATCAAAATTCATTTTAGGAATTTCACTTAAATCCACACTGAAATCTATCCCCAAAAAGGTGAACTTTTCTTTTCCCCACTGTAAATTCATCTCTGGCAGGTAAGTCTGATCGCTGTATTTCCTCCTTCCTATCCAAATAACTTGTGTTTTGCTGGTGTTGATGTTTAAACCTGAAATGTTCGCATAGTTATTTAACTCTACAATTGACTCCCTGAGCGATCTCTCTGACCCATCAAGAAGCAACCCGGTGTCATCAGCATACTGAACATTCAAAATTGGTGTATTTTCAACCTTAATGCCCTTAATATAACTATTGTTTTTGTTTTTTTAAAGCTAAGACTTCAGCACATAGAATGAAAATATATGGAGAAATAGAGTCGCCTTGCCGGTATCCACGTTGAATATTAATAAATTTAGAAATATTGCCACCTTGATTGATTGATGCATTTACATTATTATGAAAAGTTTTGACCCATTTTCTTATATCTTCGCCAAAGTTAAGAAAGATACACTTATAATATTCCCAATGCCGGAAGAAAGTAGTCTTTCTCATGTTAAGGTCAACTGATAAACTTACTTCGTCATGTGATTGACTTGCAATGTCATATATCCGTGTACAATTTCATGTGTATCACTCCCATGATAGACACCACTGTCTTCCTCAGCTTGTCGAACGTTCATTTTTAAAAAGAAACGTGAGGTGTAACCAAGCGGGACGCTAGGGAATAGAAGGTAGTTAGTTAGAAGTAGAAAGATACATCTTGGTATTGACATCTAGAAGTTTAATATTTACATAGTGTTGGAGACTCTCGTAGATCGACGTATTCGATTTTAAAACAGTGCAAGTGCATTTGTTTCACGTCCTGCATATGTATTTCTGTGATACCTTCGTCGTTGTTAACCATATCTTGCAGCGCTGCTGGTGATACAAAACATATATCAAATATGGTATATAAATTGACTAATCTGTGTGTGTATTTTCATCAGTGTCGACTAACCTTGAATCCCTTCATTTATTGCTCGGTTTACGACTTCGATTATATAAGTAACAATAAATGAAATTGTGATATCGTTTAAGCATAATGTACCAGCTTTGTATTACAGAACTCTTCTTTTTCTCTTATAACCTTTAACATACGTTTCGTATTTGTTTTTTTGTTGTTTTTTTGTCATTAAATCACTGGTACATGTACATCGTAGGTTTGTTGATTGGAGAGGGTTTACTAAGTTGATGCGTTTAGATTTTATGTCTGTTTTCAACAGCTTGAACTTGTTTTTAAAGTTCTCAAACTTGTTTTCCAGCGATTGGAACCCCCGGCGAGATTCTCTTCATACATAACATAAGCCGGTACTGTGACGGTATCTATGAGTGTGTGGCGTCCAATGGAGTGGCGGAAGACGAGTCGAAAGAGATCAGAGTTGACGTACAATGTGAGTATCTCAGCAAAACATTGATGTCAGCTCTCTCAACATATACATTTATTCTGCACCAGAACAAAACAGCGCACAATATCTTAAATGAACTGAATCTGAAAATAGGTTTTCTTTTTCGTTGTTACGTTTTCTTAAGGCGTTAATATTTATGTTTTTGGAGTAGGGTTGTCTTTACTCAGAATACAAGAAATAGTTTATATGTGAGTAAACCAAGAACTGGAACAAAAAGGCTAAGTAAACCCAAACTATACCTAAACAAATCTGACACGGTCAATGCTTAGGTAGCGAAGCAACGCTTGTGGACGAATATTAAGTTTGAAAAATATTAAGTAAACATCACTCACTTCATACAATTCACATTCATGTTAAAAGAATCGACAAATTCAATATGCGTTGATAGTGAACAGCGTATCACAAGCTCGGTCCGTGCGATGAATGGACACTTAAGTATAAGTATGATGATATCATTTGGCAAAAAATATGTAAGCTTTGTCCGATAAATTTTCAAATTATCTCTCCTTTTCTTCTAAAACTTCTTTCTCTTTCTCAACTCCAATGTGTACAATTATGTTTTAGTATCACACTTGCTTCCACAAAAAAATACCTCTAATTTTAGATAAATGTAAGGTTATTGTCGAAAGAACTTAAACTAGATAGTAAACTTGTGTCAAATTCCTTTTTTGCGATACGATACGTTTAAATAAGAAGAGAGGTAAATTTCAGTTTGGTGTAAGTAATTGTAGATAAATTGCTCGTCCTTGATGTGTCATGTATTTGATCGATTGATTATGACGTCGTGAACGTGTAGGTATTGTCAACGTGGCAGCAGTGGAATAGGTTTTCTTTTTATCTATTGCCAGATCATCCGCCCAAATTCCATGGGTTTAAAACGTACATGTTCTTATGTTCTCTGCACCCCTGGAATAAGTAATGGCAAAATTGAAAGCACGTGCCTAGCCTTTTTGATTGTTTCAGGGTAAGAAACTGACCAATCACTTGGCTGATCCATTGTACCTGTCCTTTGACCATTACATGTACAAAGATGCCCCCATCCCCCTCTACTTCAAAACAGGCCAATTTTACCGTTATACTGCTACGCGATTCTTTTGATGTGCGTCCACAAATCTAACTAGTCTTCTAGTGTCACCCTAGCTGGTGCTCACCGAGCCTTGGATTTTGTCATAAAATATATCCAGGGGATGAAGGAACGTAAGTGAGGGTAACATCCGGAGTTCCGAGGATATTGCCAGCCTGGATTTTATCTAAATATCGTATGCGGTAAACGATTTGGATATTGTTGAGAGTCTTTTAGGTAAATACTTTGGTCTTGGTCAACTCTCTATTGCGGTAAATCCTAGGGACTATGTCAGATATTTCGGTGTCTCTATCTTGTGTTTATTTTGCAATTCTTCTGAATCATTACCCATATCATGTTCATATCGCATGACACTATCTCGCCCGATTTTACATGTGTGTATATATTACCGTTTTTGACATAGACATTCACATGTAGATGGAAACACCGTGTTATATCTAGGTTATTTCAATTGACCCAATCCAGTGATTTACATGTACTTCAAAGACAATTGCCTACGTAATATGCATGTCCCTATGATTTACCGCAAATGACATTTGACATAGCCCCAATGGATTAACCTTAAACCACTGAACAATGTAGCAATGATTTACTGGTAAAGACACTGGGCTTAGCCTAAAACATAGGCTAAAATGGTGAGTTAAAACAGCCCCGACGAGTAACGTCAAGGAACGTTGACAATGATTTCATGAATTTGTATTTTAGAAATTCGAATACAAAAAGGGAATAAAGATAAAACCAGTCACATTCCAAGAAGTTTGGATTGTTATTACTTAATGCTTGAACAAATATAAAGTATAAAAATAACTGTAATTGTTACTCTTAAAACCCGTAACATAACGTTTAACAACGGTCGTGGATTTCATCACGTTCTCTATTACCGACCTAGCGATTTCAGAGAGCGTAATTGAAATGCTCCTCGTTGATTTTAGTTTCATGTAATCGTGAACTCGACCAGAATCCTCGGTATTGGGTTCTATAGGTTATAATCGAATCAGCGCCAGCCAATCTTCTTAAAATTGCAGATAAATGTATATGTATAATTACAGTTCCTCGGGGAAATTAATGTTCTTGGTTTGTGACGTTTCGAGATGTTTAATGTTGGTATTACAAAATTGCAGCCTCTGTGGTAATGCTAGAGAAAGGGAGCAAAAACGTCTTAATCACAAAATTTTCAAGCCACATACAGGTTTCTTCAGATTCATTGCTGTTTCCGCATTGTCGTATTAACCAAAGAGACAGCAATGTCGATGAAGCCCGATAGCCTGTCTATGTGATGTATTGCGCAACACAGCTGGTTTGTCGATGTATCAAGGACGACAAATGAGGTGTTTTCATAAGATCAAAGCCTACCTACCATACAAAATAGGTAGCAATTGGACTGTAAAATTTTAAACCTTGATGAAATGACAGAATATCTTGTTTTGTTTTTGTTTGTGGCGGTAATGTCTGATCTGAGCCTTGTATGCGTACTCACGGGCTACGGCAAACAACGCACCTCTTAGTACAATTTCTATTTTCAAACCAAAAGTGTAAACTAGGTTTTTATTCTACACGTGACTGTTATTTCAGTATCTTACAGTGATTCTACACGTGACTGTTATTTCAGTATTTTATATGATTCTACACCTAACTGTTATTTCAGTATCTTACATGATTTTACACGTGATTGTTATTTCAGTAGCTTACATGATTCTACACGTGACTGTTATTTCAGTAGCTTACATGATTTAACACGTGATTGTTATTTCAGTATCTTACGTGATTCTACACGTAACTATTATTTCAGTATCTTACGTGATTCTACACGTGACTGTTATTTCAGTATCTTAAATAATTCTTCACGTGACTGCTATTTCAGTAGCTTACATGATTTTACACGTAACTGTTATTTCAGTATCTTACATGATTCTACACGTAACTGTTATTTCAGTATCTTACATGATTCTACACGTAACTGTTATTTCAGTATCTTACATGATTTTACACGTGATTACTATTTCAGTAGCTTACATGATTCTACACGTGACTGTTATTTCAGTATCTTACATGATTCTGCACGTAACTGTTATTTCAGTATCTTATATGATTCTACACGTGACCGTTATTTCAGTAGCTTACATGATTTTACACGTGATTGTTATTTCAGTAGCTTACATGATTCTACACGTAACTATTATTTCAGTATCTTACATGATTTTACACGTAACTGTTATTTCAGTATCTTACTTGATTCTACACGTGACTGTTATTTCAGTAGCTTACATGATTTTACACGTGATTGTTATTTCAGTATCTTACATGATTCTACACGTGATTGTTATTTCAGTAGCTTACATGATTCTACACGTGACTGTTATTTCAGTATCTTACATGATTCTACACGTGACTGTTATTTCAGTATCTTACATGATTCTACACGTGACTGTTATTTCAGTATCTTACATGATTCTACACGTGACTGTTATTTCAGTATCTTACATGATTCTACACGTGACTGTTATTTCAGTATCTTACATGATTCTACACGTGACTGTTATTTCAGTATCTTACATGATTCTACACGTGACTGTTATTTCAGTATCTTACATGATTCTACACGTGACTGTTATTTCAGTATCTTACATGATTCTACACGTGACTGTTATTTCAGTATCTTACGTGATTCTACACGTGACTGTTATTTCAGTATCTTACATGATTCTACACGTGACTGTTATTTCAGTATCTTACATGATTCTACACGTGACTGTTATTTCAGTATCTTACATGATTCTACACGTGACTGTTATTTCAGTATCTTACATGATTCTACACGTGACTGTTATTTCAGTATCTTACATGATTCTACACGTGACTGTTATTTCAGTATCTTACATGATTCTACACGTGACTGTTATTTCAGTATCTTACATGATTCTACACGTGACTGTTATTTCAGTATCTTACATGATTCTACACGTGACTGTTATTTCAGTATCTTACGTGATTCTACACGTGACTGTTATTTCAGTATCTTACATGATTCTACACATGACTGTTATTTCAGTATTTTACATGATTCTACACGTAACTGTTATTTCAGTATCTTACATGATTCTACACGTGACTGTTATTTCAGTATCTTACATGATTCTACACGTGACTGTTATTTCAGTATCTTACATGATTCTACACGTGACTGTTATTTCAGTATCTTACATGATTCTACACGTGACTGTTATTTCAGTATCTTACATGATTCTACACGTGACTGTTATTTCAGTATCTTACATGATTCTACACGTGACTGTTATTTCAGTATCTTACATGATTCTACACGTGACTGTTATTTCAGTATCTTACATGATTCTACACGTGACTGTTATTTCAGTATCTTACATGATTCTACACGTGACTGTTATTTCAGTATCTTACATGATTCTACACGTGACTGTTATTTCAGTATCTTACATGATTCTACACGTGACTGTTATTTCAGTATCTTACATGATTCTACACGTGACTGTTATTTCAGTATCTTACATGATTCTACACGTGACTGTTATTTCAGTATCTTACATGATTCTACACGTGACTGTTATTTCAGTATCTTACATGATTCTACACGTGACTGTTATTTCAGTATCTTACATGATTCTACACGTGACTGTTATTTCAGTATCTTACATGATTCTACACGTGACTGTTATTTCAGTATCTTACATGATTCTACACGTGACTGTTATTTCAGTATCTTACATGATTCTACACGTGACTGTTATTTCAGTATCTTACATGATTCTACACGTGACTGTTATTTCAGTATCTTACATGATTCTACACGTGACTGTTATTTCAGTATCTTACATGATTCTACACGTGACTGTTATTTCAGTATCTTACATGATTCTACACGTGA